AATTTAATTATATAATAAATTAAATAATTCGTATATTAAAAATATCATACTTGTATAATTTTTATAAAATTTTTATTAAATAATAAATTAAAATTCATATTTTGAAAAAATAATATAAATAAACTCCGTGTCTGCACTATTCAAAAAATCTACATATCCTACTAGACAATACTTCACGAACTTATCACATATTCGATTTCTAACATTGTTCTTAATGTAGCTCAAAGTAGAAAAGACTCTTTCAACACTTGCCATGTAACCATACAATCAATTCAAAATTAAGGGTAGCGTGTACGTAGTTTAATTATTAGGTATTGAAAATAGTTGGGGATAAAGAAATAGCGTTTTACTGTTGCATGATGTTTAAAATAGAATAACAAATGAGTAGCAACATAATTGGAATATGTTTGATAATAGTAGTGTCCTAGGTTGGAATAACACGGACTACCACTTATATTTTATTAATCATAAGCAAACTATTATCGAGGGTAGGATAATCATTTTTTCAAATGTTAGGGTGTCCTGGATTACCAATTATATTTTGTATACACATACGAAATTACTACCGGAGGTTGGATAATCGTTTCCCCAAATTTTAGGGGTGTCCCGGGACACCCCTAGAGGCCCATGTATCCGCCCCTTCCTAGAATGCTTAACTTACATAGCAATGTTAGTTGTATATGATGATGTACTGTGGGATCCCTTATTATTTCAGGTATAGTTGGATGGACTTAAATTATTTTTACACTTGACTATTTTCAAATTTAGGATGGTAGAGTTTTGCACCAGTTTCTCAAATTTGCCATGAGTGAATGTCTAACCAGTGGTTCAGATTAAATTGTTGTAGGGGGATTTGTGTACTTTAGTAGGAACTCTACCTAAAATTTGCAATAGGTAATGGGTTTAGTAAAATGTTGGGTGATAAGGATAACAATGATTGTCAGAAAGGCTAGGGATTGATACATTAGTCGTCTACCACTGTTGGCCTAAATGTTTCGTAGAGGGCCCTTCCTCCGCTCCCTTCATCTCTATCGTCGTTCTCCGTCCTCTCCTTTCATTGGGAAGCCAGGATCAAACGGTTGTTTTGCATGTCAGTGGTTGGACGACGTCCAAGTGGATGTCAGTGGGCAAATTCAGTGTCGAATAGGGATTGTGTCGGAGGTAGCTAGATCCACCCATATCCTCCTGCTCTCCATGTCTGAGATTCGACGTCGGCGGCTGTAATGTTCTAACGAAGAAATTGGGGTGTTAAAGTGCTTCCTCTAGAAATGCCACTATCAACTTCTCTCTGTCGAGGTAATTTCAGCTACCAACCCAAGCTCGATTTACGCCAGCAAACGAAATCACCTTCTGCGTTATGCGTATAAAAGGCAGTTTAAATCACACAGACCCACGAAAGCGTTTCAGCGAAAACTCCACTAGCAGCTTCTCTCTGTCAAGGTAATTCTCAGCCATCAACCAGCCAGCTTTTGATATTTGTTTCTATCGGTCTGCCATTTCGCTTCTTTATTTTAGCTATATGCTTCCCTCCTATTATGTTCGTGAAAGGTTTTTGATTTGTGTCTGATGGAGCACGATTGGAAATCTTAAGATGATCAATTTTATGCTTTTGTAGCAATAAGTTAATCCCTTGAAGAAATTCTAATTACTATTTTAATTTAATGCATAATTATTTTAGTTTTGTTTGTATCTAATAGTAAACCAAGTTAATAATACCAATATAAAGAAATAATTTTAAGCAATTTATGATACAATAAATAGGGCAAATTCTTTTAATACGAAACATGTATAGGCCGTAGTGAGTTAGGATAATCTGATTAACAAAAATACATATGAACTAATTGTTATCAATGTCACAATTATCAAGTAGTGCAAAGATCACTTTCGATTATTATGAATTAATGAAAAATAAGATGAAATCATCCGACCAACGGGTCGGGTGAAAGCTAGTTTATTAATAAAAGTATATACATATGAGGATTTGAACCATGACCACTTTTAAGAGAGAGAATGGCTAGAACCAATCACACTACATATATTTGTTGTATCTTTTAAAAGAAAACATACACAAACTTAAAATCTCAAAAATCAGAAAACCTTTTCAGCGGTTAGCTAGCAACTAAATCTCTCATAAGTATTTATTTGGTGATTTGATACTTCGATTATCATATTTTTATTATTTTAATTGTATTTTAACACTTAATTTATATTTCAATGTATATTATAAACAGAGGATAACTTTAAAATTGCAACCCATATATCACTTGGTTGAATATTGCATATAAAATTAGAGTATTAAATAGGTCAACATTTTAAATTAGTTTTAATTTTTAGAATTAACTATGAAGAAATCATATCTTGATGCAGACTATATGGCACTGGGTTTTTTAACGTTTTAGCGGGGTTAACTGCTAAGCTTTCAACATGTTTCTAATCTGGCATGATTAGATCCAATGATCATTGTACGAGATTGAGCTTAATTATTGGTTCATTTCACCACTTTTAATAATTAGTTTATTCACAAGCTCCGTCGATGAATAAGCGACCATTTATTCGCCCGGTTTCAGGTATTCTAATTCACACTATAGACTGTGAATGGAGAAGAAGCATTTCAAACGCAAAATTAGAGAAGTAATTGAGTTGTTTCTAGGTTTCTCTCGATTCCAGGCGGTGAGAAGAAAGAGGAAGGGAAAAGGGGGAGAGTTGTGAGATACAAAGCTGGGAGAGAGATGGAAGAACAAATAGAAAAGCAAAGATGAAAGCAAATAAAGAGTGAGAGGGCACATTTAAAAGAGGAGGAAAATGATGAAGACGTGTGAAATAATTGTTCTTCTGCTTTGATTAGTGGATATTCTTGGCCCTATTATGTTGAGTTTTGATTTATTTTAGGAGATGACATTATATTTGACATATTTTTTCTATTTCAATTTAAAATCCTAAATCAATATTATTATTTGGAAGAATTTTTCCTTAATACGATTATTGTAATTTCTAAGATTTAAGGGGTATTTGATAATGTCAATATTTTAGTGGTTTTTGTTATTTAAAGTTTGTATTGAATGATCGGACGTACTGGCGGTTAGCCCATGAAACTTCACATCATAGGCTAAATCGATAGGTGATATTTAACAATATGAAACGGTTGAACCACAATTAAATTATGGCTTCTGTATAAAATACTCTACTACCAACTTTTTCGATACGATTTTACAATCTTTTGGTTCAAACAATTCTTTTATACTGGTGGAAACAAAAGTTTTAAGGCACATTTTGAACTATCTATTGCAAAAAACCATAAGTCAGTAAGCGATAATGAGAATATGCGATTTCATGCAGCCCAAAAGACTGTTCGCAACTTCTATATTTTTAAAATAAATGTATGCTACTCATACCCTCGCTCATTCATCAACTTAATGAGTAACATATATTTCATGTAATATTATTTTCATAAGTTTCTATTGATTGAATTATTTCATGAAAAAAAAATTGTTGCATGAAAATTACTACATTGTTGCTAGACATGTCTGCGATCTGAGAATAATTTAGAAAGTCCGTACACGACAAATTGTCCAACAAACTATTAGCGACAACTTAGCATCATGTCTTATATATTTCAAATCAAGCAACTTCAGATTCATTACCAACAAGGTGGTAGAAAAGAATGCTCTCTATTGGGAAAAACTTAAAGGACATACTAAACTCTATGAGACATTTTCTTCCATCCTAAGGGTTGATTATGTATGTATTATGAGAGGCCACTATAATATTCAACTATATGGTTTAATTAAGTAATGAATGACAATTAGTTATATTCTGTTTTTCATTCAATAATTATATGTAATGCTTATATTATATTTTTCTCTCTTTTCATAGAGGTCTAAACTATTTATGCATAGGCGGATCACTTTAAAAAATGTTATGTGCATAACTAAAATAGAAAACAATCATTTCATGCATTTCAAATAATCTATTATATCCATTATTATATACCGTATTTTTCAATAAAATTTTTCCGGCCGACGGGCCCGGTCGATGTGATAGTTGACTGTGATCTAACGATGATTTGGATATTAATGATGTAAGAGGGGTCTTTTTGGGTTGTGTGGATAAGAAGGCATAGGTTTAAAAGGAAGACTGTCTGGGAAATGAAAGAATCACAAATGGGATTCTGGCTTTATAGAAAGTTGTTGAGATCAAGGACATGGTTTCAGTTTTGATTGCTGCAGCAAGAAGGAAGTGACTCAGTAAGCTGGGAAGGCAAAAAATTGCAGAGGTAAACATCAAAACTATCTGGGAATCTATCCCACCTAGGCAATCTAAAGTGGCATGGAGCAACTAGCTAGCAAGGCAATCCGGGGGAGTTTGTGGTTCCTAAGTATATAATTATAACTTGGTTGGTAATATTGCATAGAATCAAAGACTTGTGTTCACCGAATCATAATCGTCGATTATTATTTCAAATGACATTGATTTTAGTGTATAAAATTTAGAGAATTTATTACCTAGATTTTAATCTTTAAAAAGGTATAGTACAATATCTCAAAGTCGGTAATCTGATTAGAGTAAGGATTAAAAAATCTTTGCATAAGCTATTCGAGATCGGACAGTGGAACAAAATTAATGTAGGACTCCTTTCGCTAGACAACCAACCACAAGTTTTACCATTAAGCAGATGAAATCAATTTTTTTTTCTTCTTCCATTCATTATATGAAAACATTATTCCTGTAATGAATGTATGACACCAAAATTTTACACAATCCATTTGGGAACCAATAGATTTGGGCCGGGCCTTCCATCCATCCACTGGTAGGTTAGCTGGTCCGTCTTCTTATCAACGAGCTTCACATAAACGCCGTCGTCTTTCCCGATCCAGTAAGTATGGTACTGGAACTCGTACGCCTTGTAGTGCTCTTCATCGAATGCGTCAAAGGCGGCATGGTGGCTGTCGTCGGGCGCCAGGTAGCACCAAAACAGTGTCGTCCTGAGCCAGACATCCAGCTTAAACTTCCACGTGAACTCGGACCCGGCCGTGAGGTTGTGGATTCCAAGGTCGTCGTCTTTTGACTTGCAATGGACCAGTAACACCTTCCCGCCGGTCAGCTCGCTGGAAACGTGGACATGGTGGTTCTTGATGAGGCCTTCCTCGCCGTCGGCGGCGGCCAGGTGGATTGCCATGGCCGCCAATGTCGATACTAGCAGCAAGGCAGCGACTGAGGAGGAGGACCTCATCGTGGTTCTTGTTTGTTTTTTCTTCTGTTTGAGTTGGTCTACTTAGTGCAGGTTGGTGAGTTGGGAAATCTAAATCAAAGGGCTTTATATAGATAGGGTTAAGCCTGTTTTGAATCCTGAGATTCCGCAATCGGTTCCCGGAGATTGTCAAGTGAGGGTACTCGTTCACACCCCTGATGCCATCATCATCCAACCACTCGCAACTCTCGAGGGTTAGATCCCTCAGGTTTGGGAAGCCGGCGAACGGTTCGATCCTGCGGCCGCCGGGGCAAACCAAGATGATGTCTTCCAGATGCAGAGTGGCGACCATGCTGAAATCAGCACGGAAAAGGAATTTCGAGCACGGATCGACGGCGTGCAGGCGTCGAATCCCATGGGAGGCCGCGTAAGCAAAGAGCTCGCAACCAATCTCATTATGTTTAACGTCGTCGTAATCGATTTGGCTGCCGATTTCCACGCTGATCTCGTGGATCGGGGCGGAGTCGTGACGGCTTGAGATGATTCCGGAGACGAATTGGTCGAATTCGTTGATGTTGTTGAAGGATTTGGTGTCTAAATTGAGGACAGGGACGCCTTTCCAGACGGATCTCCACCGCGGGGAGAGGGCGCAAGTTTGGACGGCGAGTTTCGAGTAGAGGAAGGAGAGAATGCGACGGAGGAGATGGTCGGGAAGTTCGCTGAACCTGTCATTCTTCCGAGCTTTCTTCCAACAGCTACACGTAGGGCAGTGGGAGCTGCCGTCGCCGCCGCTGATCATCATCGTAGGTTTAGTACTTGCTCTAATTTTGTTACGTAGATTATTAGTAGTTTTATCAATCAGGAGTGTCGGCTATACTTATAGTAGGATTAGTATTTTTGGAGTAGCGGCCAAGTAAAGTAACCCTTACCGAGTAGGATTAGGACTAGTTTAGGGGATTTAGCCCTCTAAATATGTATGTACGAAGTTAGTTCGATTCAGTCGATGAAGAAAAATATTTCAGTTTATCGTTGTTAGCTACTTTTTTTCATCCTCTTCTTCGTTATAACTATATTTTTTTCGATTATCATATGATTCTTACAGCGTAAATTGCGTGAAAGTTTCTACCGAAGAAATCCACTTAACAAATTACTACTTTCCGCCGATGATACTATAATGCGGCGTAGAGTAGCTGTATGACGCGCGAGGCAAACTGATGACCTTTGAACCCTTTGTATAGTTTGTGCCATTCCAGACCCTTGTCACTTTGGAAAATGATTTGTTTTGCTTCTTAACAGTGGGCGTATTCATGTTAAAATACTGATCTTTTGTTAAATAAATAAGGAATAGTAGTAACTTTGTGGGCAGGAATCAATCCATTTGTTCTCGTAGTGTATAGTTATGAATGTGACCATCACAGCAATGATTACTAGTAGACATGGGTGGACCCATGTGGTAGAGAGGTGTGTCAAGCCGCACGAATATTTTGTGAGAGACCCATGTTTTGTCGGTATAATTTTTTGGATTTTAGGACTTTCGACACACCTTGAATAATTGTTATTGACACACCTTTAATACACTACGATGAAATTAGTGTCATAAAGTTCCCAAAATCCATAAATATATGTTATTTATTTTAAATTTTAGTTAACTTATGACAAATTTGAGGTTCTTTTCATTGCTTAAGCATTTAGATGCAAGGTTTATTGCTCTTAGGTCTTAGGCATGGGTAATCGTAACGAAGTTTTCTCTTTTTTCTCTCTACCTGAATAAGTTTCGTTTCTTCTTGATCCTTGTAGGTTTCACATAGTTGTCCACCTAGTGACAAAAAATGCTCTTTCATCGGGAGTCTGGTTGCATATGGACTACTATCTTATAAAAAAAACTCCAATGTTCCCTTTGCCTCTTTCGATCCCACTTCTCGTTGTGTTACACAGTAAAATATAATTAAATTTATTTTTTAATTTTATCGACTGGCACACCTTTACGAGAATCCTGGGTCCGCCACTGCTAGTAGAGGTGACAAAATAATCGCACAAGATCATCTATATCTACCTGTGATTTTAACCAACACCACGAAAAAGTGAATTTAAGGATGAGTAAAACTTGTCGGTAAAATGCCGAATATCCTCATTGAAATTCATTGTCAACAGAAAAGAAACTCTAGTTATTAGCTTTGCCGTTACAACTCTTACCGACGGGAAACACCATTTGGTCGTTGAAATTAGTACCCAGGGGAGGAGTTTGGTCGTTGTTTTCATTGGACTCTATTTGGTGAAGAAAACATACTTTACCAAAATTGTTCAGCTAGCTCAAGTGATTAGAGTAAGGACTCAAAATCCTTGTGTCGAAGGTTCGTAATAGGATAGTGGAACGAATATTAATTTAGGACTCCTTTCGCAAGACCTCCAAGACATTCAAATTCAACCACCACTTTTACAATTAAGCAGATTCAAATCAAAATTACGAGAACAATTTACTGTTAATCTACGCTGAAAAGACCAATGAAATGGTGGAATGGAGCGAGACATTCAACAGATCAGTGGGCTCTGTACATGAAAGGTTAGTGGGCCGTCATCTATAACAAAGATCAAGAGACACAACGGCCCAATCAACCCTTTGTGTCTCGGCCTAGTGACCGCTGGGCTTGAAATTAAGTACTGGACCGGTAATGGAACTGTGCCCGGGCCAGGCGATCAGTTTGGACGTGCAAGTCATGAGCAAGTTGTAGAACTTGATAGGATTTTGAACATAGTAATATTATGTAGTGTTACTGTGTTAGCTATGTTGCCGGAGGAATGGGATTAGGTGCTAACCCCTATAGGGATTAGCACCGTGATAACTAGCAAAAAACGCTACTAAAAATAACGAAATCACTACGGATTATTATAAAATCAATATAACGCTACTAAAAATAACGAAATCACTACGGATTATTATAAAATCAATACAACATCTAAAAGACAGATTGAGAGCAACTAGCATTAAATTTTACACTAATGCATTTGAATAAAAAAAGGTTATAGGTATAACATGCCCTTCTACTATGACGTTTTATCAAACATGTCCCTATACTATTTTTTACATCAAACATGCCCTATACTTTGGAAAAAATTATCAAACGTGCCCTTATGTTAAGATTTCCATTGATAAAATCGTCAATCATGGTTGAACCGAGATTTAGACGACCCGACATCGGCAAATGGGAGAGAAAATGTCAGTTTGGTCTCCCGTTTTATTTCTCTAGGTCTCTTCAAAGTGAAATTATTTGAATTATTTGGCTATACAAAAGAACAAAAAAAATTCTAAAGTGAAATTATTGGGGATATTTTAGACATTTGTGCCGCCCAAACCAAACTTCGACCTTGGTTAACGGTTTTTGGATGAAAATTTAAACAAAAGGGTATGTTTGATAATTTTTACAAAGTACAGGGGCATGTTTGATGTAAAAAATAGTATAAGGGCATGTTTGATAAAACGTCATAGTAGAGGAGCATATTATACCTATAACCCATAAAAAAAACCTTAAAGTGTTATCTTTATTTGTGAAAGAGATAAGAAAAACTATGACAACTAGGGGTAGGCATCAGTCTCCAGAACCAGATCAAAGGTAGTTATGACTAGAAAAAAATAAAGCAAAAATGAAAATCAGAACCAAACCAAAAATATGTTTGGTTTCATTTGGTTTGATTCGGTCCGATCCAATTCAATTTCTGTTCATTTGTTTTTCATACTTAAAATAATTCATAAAATCAAAATTGAATCGGGATAAATTTGATTCGATCCGATTCAAATATTGATTCGATACAATTCAGTCCGGCGTGAACGTGATTGTTGCGCCCACCCCTACCAACCACTTTTACATTTTATAAAAAAAACAAAAATAAAGCTTTTGTAATCCGTTGTTAAAACTCAAAGACGATATTAAAATATCTTTATTATAATACCACATGATCACATGTTCGTACATCCGCTGATATCATAAGATCTAGCTAGCTAGCTAGCTTTAGGTTGTACTTGTACACTACTTGTAGTTCAAAAGTTTTACAGTTTCCTCAAAACCTTGAGATCCTTCCACCGCGACTCCATGTAATTGGAGTCTTTGTCTTGTGCGTAGACACCACATTTAAAGGTATGAACAGTTCCCCCGCCGTCTTTGGTTTCCAACTTGAGCTCTCCATCGATATAGATCTGAACTTTCGAGGCTCCAACGTCGTGGATCACGTTCAACCGGAACCATTTGTCGTAGATGTTCTCCGCCAGCACCTTCCTCCTGTAGAACACGAGGTTGCCGTCGTAAACTCTCACCATCGCCGACGAGGCACGTGGCGCGGTTGCGCCGAATATCTGCATTATGCACACTCCCGTCGTGCCCTTGGGGACGTAGCCGTAGCCTTCGAATTGCCACACTCCCGATCTGTAGCCATAGCCCTGCAATGCATTCATGTGTTTATAAATTAAGTTGAACACATATTATATTAGATAGGTCGGCGGCAAGCGAATCGATCTATAATTCTGTATACTTACATGGATGCCAATCTCGGTTCTTGGCAGGGTTTTGCTGGCGGGAGAGTGAGGCTTGTCAGTGGAGTAAACCCAGCACTTGTGGACGCCATTGATGAAGCTGTAGCGCTGCTCCAAAGGAATGTCGTACGGCTTCAGGATACGGAAGTTTTCCTTGCGTAGTGGGAGGGATTCGAAGCCGGAGGTGAGATCATGATCAGTACTACAACCAACTGCAGAAGCTGCCGTCATCGTGGCGTTGATGATGATGATGAGATAAGTCAGCAGCGTTATCAGGATGGACGTTTGCTTCTTCACTACTAAAGCAGCCATTAAATTTTTGGGAATGGTTGTTTTATGGTATTATTGGCTGTGGAAATTTTATAGTAAGAAAATAAACGGAAGAAAGGAGATCGATTGCCAATATGATGAATGGGACGGTTTGGAATGAGAGACGTGCGTTGTTGGTTTGGTTAGGATGATACCTGTGTACTTCTATATATAGATACTAATCGTTGTCGGTATTTACCGCCGGCCAGCCGGCCGGCTGGTTTCGATTGATTCCCAGAAAGGAACTTACATGCTTGACCTTCTATCGTTAATATATATTACAGGCTAGAGTTTAATACAATTGCCGAAACTTAATTCAATTGATAAATGCATGCATGGGCCAAACAGAAAAGGACGTAATATCTAGCTAGGTGACCGGACGTAATATCTATATATACCTTTAGATGGACATCATAATTAAACAACATATATTTTGATATTCAATAGACTAAAATCAAAGTAAGTAATTAACACATGCATAGTCATTCCACATTGATTTCAGAACTTAAATATAAATAAATATGGTGTGTACATGTAAGTAGAATTAGGGGTGGTTATACGGTTCGAACCAGTTAAATTGGCCCGAATTGATTCGGTCCCAGTCCGATTTCTTCGGGAATATAAGGACCAAAGATTGGATTGGATACAGTCCGGTCTTGATCCGGTCCGGTCTTGACCCGGTTCAGTCCCAATTCGGACTTGATTTTAGATTGAACCTGTAGGGATTTGAGTTGCCCGAGGACTCAAAGGGTGATGAGTTTATTTAGTTTTGGAGTTGAGATCTCTTATTCGGTCTTTATCCGATTTTCGATCCGGTCCCAAACGGTTTTTTACCTCAAATCTAAGCCTGAAGTTTGGATTGGATTGTTTGCTATCCGGTTTCGGTCCTGGTCCGTGTTATACCGTCTGATTTCGGATAAAACCAAATAGCCCGAACCAAATAGTCAGCCCTAAGTAGAATAGTTATA